GTATGTACACTCGGCCAAGAAGACGACACCTACTGCGTAATTCACGCAGTATGCCTGCAGCACAATGTATTTACTGTCTCTCGAAACAACATTGCAAACAATCATATGATTCCGCTCCTCCAGTGCAATCAAGATACGAAAGAAACTAAGAAGTTACAGCAAACGCCAAGCACTGAGACCCGAGCAGAACGCCTGCCGCTCTGAGGCCAGTGGTTGGCAAAAGCCATTCCGTGCAAGAAAAAGGAGACTTCTCGGACATGCACTGAGAGCTCAATGCAGGATAGCAACACCAAAACCCAAAGAAAGAAGAGCTAATGACTAACACCTCGAATGAGCTCCCAATGTATGTTCTTGCCATGCACATGGTGCATGCAGAAGAACGAACCCATCATCCGCATCGTCGTTTTTGGGACCTGCGGTGTGCTGCACGTCCAAATGGACACCTGTGTTGAAAACCGCTGTAAGACAGCGGCCATGAGCAGTGAACAGACTGTTCGATAGCGATTTAAATCATAGTCGAGCCAAAGAGAAGATCTTCTTGAACAGCTATTGCAATGAATCGCAGCTTGCTGAAGGGCTGACGATCAATTTCCCTCTATTGCAACAGTGAAGAGAGTTTCTGCTGGTTTGTCGAGTCGAATTCACGTCGAACTATCTACCGTGAGAATAGAAAAAGCCGAACAGGAACAAACAGCCGCAGCTTAAAAAAGCTTTTGCGTGGCAAAGAGCGCTTAACTGCGAATGAGGCTTGATGCGGCGGAAGCCAAAAGGGGTCGTCGTTCCTCTTGCATCTTGCACGGTAGCGATGACATGCGAGAGCTCATCCCGCTGCGGCCGCTTAGCTTAGGAGGGAACCGGGGCTCGGACATTCGTCCGCAGCCCCGCTTGCCATTTTGGTCCTTAATAATAGGTCGCCATGGCGCAGGCAGCCCTGGTAACTAAGCTGGAGCCGCCTCAGGCTGCGCTTCTCCATCACACCAGGATGGAAGGGGCCGATGGTATGACACTCCTGCAGGCGGTGATCCACGGATCGCACGGAGCGATCACTCCACCTCCAGCTGCATGATGGCTTGCTGCTGGTGCAAGTGATGGGTGCAGCAGGGCCCCCCGGCCGGTGCACGACGCGACCGGGTGGCACTGACTGGTGAATGGCGACCCTGTAATTAATGCTTTCTGTTAGCAGGTGAGCATTCTAGGGATTTTCGTCCACGGACATGAGCTGGTTGCACGCCATCTGGAAAGTGCCATCATTGTAATAGCAGGATCTGTGAAGCTGGGGAGCATTGGGTGCCGTGGAAGGCGCTTCAGAACCGCCGTGGCTGTGGCCGCTCGGCGATTGGACGTGTCCAGCGTCAGGCATAAAATTTTTCAAGGCAATCGAGAAGAACTGGAAAACGAGGTGTGGGCCCACAATGTTTGGAGCTTTCACAAGGTTTTCTCATTACATTCATTACATTGAGGTCTGGCGACCTTGTTGTCGTCGGCGACATGCTGCGCAACACGAGCCGTGCAAGGGTTGTCGGGAGGCCGTTGCTCACATGTGATGATGACTTCGGGGCCTGCGCGGTTGGTTCAAGCCCCAGCAGATGTTCGCGACACTTGCACTTGAAAAGCGTTTCTTGGCCCTTTGTCGTGGAGACTCACATACATTGCTGTCAATGCTGTACATGACTGTACATCGTAGTGTATTAGCCATATTAGTATAAAGTAATATATGTACAGCGAAGCTGACAGAAGTTTGCACGTGAGACCTCAGTTACATAAGGACTTCAATTAGGTTCATCAGCAATGTGAAAGCATTCTTGTCTTGCCGTGCGTGCTCTCCAGAACACAGATCCGGAAGAACTTGTTCACCCTTTGGGTGCTAGTGGAAGTATAATACTGCGATTGGCTGGGATGATGAAGTGTGGAGTGCTGTCGACGGTGCAGTTCACCCCCTTCCCTTTGCATTAACCTTTTGTAAATGCTCAAAGGGTGAATCTGTCCCCTCATAGGGGTTTCCGATGGTTTCCGGTCTGGTTTCCGATGGTTTCCTTTGGTTTCCTATGGGTTTCCCATGTGTTTCCTGCGGTTTCCTCCAGGTTTCCGAGCGTTTTCCACACCTTTGCTGTGGTCTGCTTTGGTTTCCCATGATTTCTAGATAGATATGCTCCTCAAAAGTGAGTCTCTTCCTCGTACGGGGTTTCTGATGGTTTCCGGTCTGGTTTCCTGTGGTTTCCTGTGGTTTCCCACACGTTTCCTGCGGTTTCCTGTGATTTCCCTGCGTTTTCCATATGTTTGTTATGGCCTGCTATGGTTTCCCATGAATTCTAGATAGATATGCTCCTCAAAAGTGAGTCTGTTCCTTCTTAAGGGTTTCTGAAGGTTTCCGGTCTGGTTTCCGATGGTTTCCTAGGGTTTCCTATGGGTTTCCCACAGATTTCCTGCGACGCCGGATCTTGGCAATGCTTTGCGTGGCTCGTGTAGTCATGACTGCGTTTGGAGCAGGCCAAGACATAATCGAAGTTTCTGAAGCAGGCGGCGAGGTTCAGATTCCGTAGTGCTTGTAACAAGCCCACTTCTGGGTCCGGAAATTGTCAGGATTGTGGTGGCTGTTGTGAAGGGGCCTCCAGAGTGCCGGGAGATCTTCTGTAGTTTGTTGATTTTCATTGCTCAGCTACACCATATCGGTGCTGTCGTTGCCTCAGAATCTGCAGCAGATCAAGATGCTCAAGCTGTAGTCGCTGTCGTGGCTGCTTAAAAAAGAGGAGAAGTTGTGACTTTCACAACACCTGTTGGCGGCCGTTCTTTGAAGTTCTTTGTGAATTGAGAATTCAATAAAAGGGCAAAGTTCGGGTAAAGAGCGGGGCCAAAAACGGGTCCAGAATTCGGACCCGTTTTTGGAGCCATCTAATATTGGCACAATTCCCGCAGGTTCAGAAAACGGCCCCATTTTTGGGGCCGCATTTGTTCGCGGGGAACCACTTTCGAGCTCGTTGTCGGAATCGCAAAAATCTGGACGCGGATCAAGGAATACCGTCCAATGTTACCAGCTGGTCAGCAAGATGCAGCTGGATAACTCCAAAATGCTTGTCTTGAACACATCTTCGGCTCAAAAAATCAAACTGCGGCATGTGTTCTTGCCAAGTGCAGGATTCGCTGCAGGATGCTGCAGCAACAGTGCCGGGAGATCTTCTGTAGTTTGTTGATTTTCATTGCTCAGCTACACCATATCGGTGCTGTCGTTGCCTCAGAATCTGCAGCAGATCAAGATGCTCAAGCTGTAGTCGCTGTCGTGGCTGCTTAAAAAAGAGGAGAAGTTGTGACTTTCACAACACCTGTTGGCGGCCGTTCTTTGAAGTTCTTTGTGAATTGAGAATTCAATAAAAGGGGAAAGTTCGGGTAAAGAGCGGGGCCAAAAACGGGTCCAGAATTCGGACCCGTTTTTGGAGCCATCTAATATTGGCACAATTCCCGCGGGTTCAGAAAACGGCCCCATTTTTGGGGCCGCATTTGTTCGCGGGGAACCACTTTCGAGCTCGTTGTCGGAATCGCAAAAATCTGGACGCGGATCAAGGAATACCGTCCAATGTTACCAGCTGGTCAGCAAGATGCAGCTGGATAACTCCAAAATGCTTGTCTTGAACACATCTTCGGCTCAAAAAATCAAACTGCGGCATGTCTTGCCAAGTGCAGGATTCGCTGCAGGATGCTGCAGCAACTCTGGAGGCCCCTGCGCAGCAGTCACCAAAATCCTGACAATTTCCGAACCCAGAAGTGGGCCCGTGGAAGGCGCTTCAGAATCTGAGTTTGCTTCAGCAGCAGTTCGTTGAGTCCGCCGCCGTGGCTGTGGCCGCTCGGCGATGGACGTGTCCAGCGTCAGGCATATATTTCCAAGGCAATCGAGAAGAACTGGAAAACGAGGTGTGGGCCCACAATGTTTGGAGCTTTCACAAGGTTTTCTCATTACATTCATTACATTGAGGTCTGGCGACCTTGTTGTCGTCGGCGACATGCTGCGCAACACGCAGGTGTCCCGCCCGAATGGTAAGGCCGAGTGAGCCGGCCCGGCTGTTGTTGAGAGGCTCAAGTATGAAAAACCGCAAACGACACTTTGGAAAGATTTCAATGGGCTTGAGGGTTGAAACCAGCCAACCTGGCCTGCCCCAGGCCAGTGTGGTAGTAGTTGTTTGAAACACTAGACAGTCTGGGCGTAGGCTGAGAAAGCACGTGCCAGTTGTCGCTTGCTAAGCTATAATGTGAGCACTTCGTCCTTGCGATTCTTATGCAGGGGCTAGAAAATCAAGTAGTTCAGAGTTGTGCTTCGGATATTGCCATGGAACATACCAGCTAGTTGTAAGACCAACTCCAAGTTTGTTCCAAGAGGTAGATTTGGGTCGCCGCCGGACAAAGGAAGTCCGGACATGTTTGTCCGGATAGTTGCACGTGCTTTTGGCTGCTTGCTTTGCCGAAAACTAGCAGCAGGGGGGGTGTAGCCATAACTGGTCGCTAAAGTTCAGATTATCGGCGGTAGGTGCTAGGAGCGCCACGACCGACGACGACACTGCGACTGCGACCAGAACGACCAGACCAGACCACCATGACACTGCCAGCTGATCTGAGGTCCATCGGTTTTGATTTGTTGTTGGCCTTTTGAGTTTGGCGAAAATGATGATGATGCTTTCCGCTTGTTTGTGGCAGACTGTCGTCAATTGTCAACTTTTCGGTGTATGCAAGTTCTTGTTGTCCTGCACTTGGAACTGAACAACTTAGCCGAATCAGTCCTCGAGTCTTTGTATGTAAACGGGTAGCCTTTCTGCTCCGTGCTCAGCTTACCGGGTCTAGCTGAGAGTGCCAGTGCCTAGGCTTAGGCCCTGAACGAAGACGCATTTTCGTTTATATTTGACATGTGATCCACACATCCCAAACCTCGGCCAAGGCAGCCAGCCCAAGATTGTCGAAAGACTTGCATGTATGGGGCTACTGTAGTGTTATGATAGTGTTATGGAGATCAGCTGGCCATGGCAGATGATGGCACGAGCTGGGCTTACCTTAGCTGCTTCGAAGACTGGCAAAGCCACCGCAGCAAGAGAAAGCCTGCTTTGGAAGCCGAGAGCTGTCCACCACACGTAAAGCGTTTGTGTGATGCTGCTTGTCAGCAGCACCCGGAGCTTGCCCAGGCTTTCAAAATAGGTAGGCCAGTGAACGAAGGTGCGAGTCCGAGTGAACCGTTCCCAGTGCGTGGAATTGTCCAGATAAAAGTAGGCAGCAAGTATGCAGGTCATTTCTCTCCAGGTTGGTCGGAAAAAGCTTTCTTCATGCATGAAATTTGCCATGATGCTGCGCTAGATGCATACACGCTGGAAGTACAGAAGCGGCTTTGCTTTGCTCTGTGGGAAGACCCCGTGCATGCCAACTGCGTGACTCTCCCCAACATTCGAAAAGTGAACAAATCGGCATCGGCAGATTACTCGTGGATCGAGGATGTTCCTGTGTGTAGCGAAAACAAATCACACAAGAAGTCCTTGATATGCCTGATGACAGCCGCGAGCATAGGTTCCAGTGCTCCTGTGCAAAGCAGATCTGGTGCTGATCTGAAACAGAAATTATTGCAGCTTCATCTGTTTGAGCCTTCCAGCAATGACATACAGTTTCGCTGCCTCCGTGAGGTTCTAGGCGATGCAGTCTCTGAGAAATGCTTAGATTTTCCCGTGCTTCGTTTGCCTCGCATGATTGCCTTTTTGGTTGTCGTGGGTTTGTGGCACGAGGTTGTTATGCTGTCGCGTTGGACGCACCCGCATTTTCCATCCCTTACTGCCTCCTTGCCCCAAGAATGGCTCACAACAGTGGCACACTCGCCTGAAGATGGATTGTCTACCCAGCTACTCACACTGGATCACGTTGAGAACACGATGGGGTTGATGAGGCGTTTGGGCGCTCAGGTGTTGCCATCCTTGCTGGACGACGATGCAAGGGTCGGGTTGGAGATGGATTTGGAGAGCTGTCTGAGGGCGTTGCGTGCTCACGGGCGTACCCTAGATGTTTCACATGCAGTGTATCACACAAAGCATTTCCGCGGTGGGATCCCGTCAGATGTTTTCGTGCAACAGCTTGTGGCAAGCTTGGACTTGAAAGACAAGAGTATGCTGAAGCGTCATGCAGAACGTTTTTGCGCTTGTTTGCCAAAAGTATTCCGCCCCTTGCTCGATGCCTGGATGTCGGGACAAGTTGTTAGTGCCACATCGCTTGTGCGAGGTAGGCTGTTCCTGGACGTGGCCATGCAGCTTGTGCATCGTCAAAATCTGTCAGATAGTGGCGGTGTATTGAAATACGCCTGGGGGGATGCATCATCTAAGTATGGGTTGGAGGTGTACAATTCTCGATACCGATGGTTCAAGAAGTCGCAGTGTGTGGAGCTTGCCCGTGCCTGGCGGTATTTGTGCAACAATCCATGGGGTCCAGAGGTAGATGATGAGATCTTACGGAAGAGAGCTGAGTGTTCCCAACTCCTCCATGACAGCATCCATCTCCACACCATGATGCCGCAACTCTTGGGCAGCAAGCGCACGACCTTGCCGGACAAAGTATCGGCGCATGTCCACGCCAGCCTCCTAGAGTGCTCCAGCCTGCAAGATCTTGACACCAGCTTTGATAATCATATCTCTTGGACATCAGATATGGGAGTAGAGGCAGGTCTGCCATCATTTGGCATACAAGGGGCTGAGAAAACCTTGCCCCCTTGGCTGCAGCCTGCAAGAGCCAATGTTGTAGAAGGAGAGGAATTTGTTGAAGACGGTCCTGTGGTGAATGAAGATGCAGCTGTGACGAAGCCTTTGATGCAACATGCTCTCCAGATGCCCGGGATTTGTCATTGCATCCACAATGCCACAGAGACTTTGGAGACAGCGTTCCATTGGTTTGAGACGTTCGTTGATCATTATAAGGTTTTAGACAAGTTCCTAAGCAGCAAGCAGCGGCGAGAGCGATTTGTGGAAGTGGTGATGTATGGTTCTCCTGCATATGAAACAGCCAAACAAGTCTTCTCAAAACAGGTGCCGGCGTTCTACACGAAGCGCTGGAATGCCTTCACAGACTGTTTGCGTGAAACGCTTCCCATGGCTTTGTTCCTGCGTTCACATTGGGATCATGTGCGGTACCTGGAGGGTTTGGAAAATGCGGCTTCAGTAGATGATGGCTGGGCTCCAACGGACCTGAACAGCATATTGAGCAACAACTACTTTTTCGCATACTGGCGGATGCAGCTGAAGCTCCGGGGTCAGTTGAGCACATTCATGTCATGGGCAGAAGGGTGCAGCTGTCACAAAGTCCCTCGTCGACGTGCAAGTGACCATGAAGACGACTCGGAGGACCCGAAGTCAAGCATATCCTTGCAAAGCCTTCTGAATATGGAGATTACTTCTGCACGGCAGTTGCCCCGTAGGTGTCCCATGATGGGTTGTCAAGCTCCCTTTTTGGCCAGTGATCACCTCGAAACATTATCGAAGCGTTTGGCAGAGTCTTCGCACCATCTTGTTGCAGACTGCCATGAGCGGCTCAGTCAAGAAGAGTGGGGCACCTTGCTGTCTGAGTGGAAGCATGGGACTTCTGTGATTATTGAGAACCTCAAACTTCGGTTGGAGTTTTACACTTGTCTTCCTTGGGTGCTTCTCTCCGGGGCACATCCTGTGGCAAACGTAGCACGTCAGGGTCTCCAAAAAGCTTTGCGGTTGTGGGAGCAATTGCCAGATGATGCCAAAGCATCTCAGCACTTGCTTGTCCGAGGCTTGTTTCAGGATGCCGGTTTGAGTGAGCAGCTGGTGGCTTTTTTGGCATCAGACGACGACATAGAAAGTTTTCCCCAACTGGAGCAGTTTTTTTTTTTTTTTTCCTTTGTGCAAGTAGCTGAGCGGTTGATCGAGGCAGCTCACAAAGACTTAGGCCAATCTCGGCCCAAGAACTTCAGTATGAATCTACTCTCGATCAATATGCGTTTGCCTGAGCTTGACCGTTATCTGTGGCAGGACCCAGGCAACTTTGCAAAACTCGTAGATGCTTTCGAACAGTCCCGGCACTTGCGTTCATTCACTAGCAATTTTCCTTGCTACCGAAACCACCCCAAAATGCTGTCAGTGGCTGGCAAAAGAAAATCTGCAAAGTTTGAAAGTTTTGTCAGGGAAGCTTTGTACCGTGATGCGAGGCTGCAGTTTGCAGATGTCAAGGAGGCTGCAGAGACCCATAAGGCCGAAGTGAAAAAGAGAGAGGCTGCCCATAAACCCCACAAGAACAAAGTGAGACTTTCCGAAGCTGTGGTCGTAGGACGTGCCATCACAGACAGAATCCGCGAAGTAGCGCACGAGCAGCCCGGCACCATGTTTTCGATTCACGCTGGACCAGACCAAGGCACAAGGTTTTTCACGCCAGTCCTGTTGAATCCATCTGGTCTGCGTCGCCCTGTGCATGCCCCATGTACTCTGCACGAGTATGCTCCTACTGACATGCTTGTCACTGTTTGTGAGAATCGTGGATCTGTTGAAAGACCGCTTGTGAATGCCATGTCTGCAGGAAGCACAGAGACACTATCCATGCAGCAATTGCTCGCAGCTTGCGATGACATGCATTCTTTCGTGAAAGAACTCCGTGTCTGGTCTCGGGGTGGTGGCTTGAAGTATTGCTTGCCGCTGTTGGGTGGAGGAGTTTCCACTTTGCTGCAAACATTGCTGGATCATGGTGCTGTGCCGGGCAAGGGGCGTGCTTTGGCAGTGCAGGATGGTGCTAGGGAAGGGTCTTTGCAGATGCTTCAAGGATCAGGGTATGTAGATCATTCCGCAGCAGGGTGGCAATTAACTCAGAAAGCTTTGCAGAGCATGGAGTTTTTTCGTGAGCTGAGCCACCCGACATGTTTTGCAGATCCTGGAGAGAAGCCTCTGAGTGACATGTCAACACTCGAGCTTGTGTTCGTTCTGCAAAGCAAGTCATGGACTTGGTCAAAATTGCCTGCCAAAAAGGTAGATCGGGATCAACTTGAGTTCGTTCCAGGAAAGGCCCTTGTCTGGCGCACGGTCGGAGTTACAGTGCCTGCTTCCTATATGCGTTGTTTGCTGGATGCAGACCGACTGCAGACTCAACACGGCATCAGTGCGATCCCTCATGGTTTGTCAACTGATGTGTATGAACAGATCTTCCTTGGGGTGCAGCCTGCTGAAGCTATTCGTGCCATTCAGGATCAACGTAGGAAGCGTAAGCGGGAAATCCAGGATCCGGGTCGTTTGCAGATCGATGTTGAAATAGGTGAGGTTGGTGGTGCTTTGGGCGAGATTGGGGAGCAATCCGCTTTGGCAGCGCTTGCACCGGTGCCTAATCAGCAAAGTGCAGCCGAGCAGGGGGAGGGTGAGGGAGGCTTGTCAGACTTAGATTTCGCAGGTGGCATTGGTTCCCCTCCTGATTTCTCAAAGGCTGACTCAGAGGCCTCAGAGGTTGATTCGCAGGAGCTGATTGCAGAATTAGAAAATGCCATTAATGCCGTGGATGCCAAAGATGCCAATGACGGCCATGATGCCAATGATGCAAGCGTAGCGGAACCACCGCCCCGTCTCCCAGAAGGTGGTGCAGATGCTATGGCTGTAGACCCAGCAAACATGCCTCAGGGGGAACCGTTGCCGTTGCCCCGTCCCGCAGAAGGTGGTGCAGATGCTGTCGTTGACCCAGCAAATTTGCATCAGATCTTGGAAGTCAAGGCAGCAGCTAAGTACGGGTTTTTCTCTTTCTCCAGAAAGCAGGCCCGCAGTGCACCGCCTTTTGGCGGGTATGAGGCGATCTGCAGATACCACAAAAGAAGCAACGTGACAGGATGCAAGCGCTTCGTGCGCTTGCCCAATGATACTGAGGAGGGCCGTGCAGCTGTCATCACAACGCTGCAACACTGGTGCAATTCAGCTTTGAAATTCTCACGGCAAAGAGACCATGTTCGCATGCCGTTGGCCCCCGAAGATGTCCCCTCTCCTGAAGTAGTCCAGGCCCAACAGATTGCTCAAAACCCTCCTGTTCCAGTAAGAACAGACGAAGAGTTGGACCGAGAAGAGGCAGCAGCAAGATCGGCTCCTGTTGCGAAGACGAAAGCAAAGGCGGCCGCGAAATTGACAGCAAAGGCGAAGGCGAAGGCCAAGGCGAAAAGTACACCAGCTGGCAAGGCCGAGGCTAAAGCTAAAGGGAAGGCAGCGGCAGCACCAAAGGCGAAGGCGAAGGCAGCTCGTAGCCCCAGCACAGCAGCCAGAGGGTCAGCCGATGTACCCGATGCTCCGCATGCCCCAGCTGCTGCAGATTCAAGTTCCAGGCAGGGGCGGGTGCGTGACGGTGCGTGTGCAGCCAGGGCTCTTTACTTGCGGTCTTCACGGTGCAGTTGCTGTTGCTGTCGATTCTTTAGCACCGTCTCGGTTTGTAGGTCCCGAATGTCAATCCCCAAACCTTCTAGACCTTCGTAACGACTCCTACCTAACCCCCTCCCGTGCCCCATGCCAGGTCCAGTTCGCGATCTTCGAGCTCATCGTCTTCCAGTTCGAGTTCGAGCAGCTCTTCGTGATGGAGGCCATGTGCCAGTGCTGGAAGGTTTCAGTTGTCGTATTCACCATTGATGCCGTAGTGTGGCTAGAGTTAAAAGGAGTTCCCGAGCCGACGTTCGGATCACATGCTTCGCAGTCAGTGCTCTGAGTCGTGGCATAATGGTGCAGACACGGTTGCCTTAAGTTGTCGCTACGTAGCCGACCTAGGCCCCAACATTTTGCGAAAATTCAGGGTCCCGGGTCGCCGGCCCAGGCCCCTAAATTTTCGGAAAATTTTGGGGGCTGGGTCACGACAGAAATCCCCTCACACGGGTGCCGGTGCCAGGTGGCGTGTGTCCTTCAGCTCGATTGGAGGCGGGAGCGGGAACAGCTTCGAGCCTGAATCGTTGCAGTGCATCGCTTTGAGAAGCTTTCCCGGGGATATCGTGGTTTAATTCGCACTTTAAGCTGCTGCGCAAGGCGTCTTCATGGAAGGTGCCGGGACTTCTTTTCGTGCAGGCTCGGTCCGGGCTCGAGGAGTCGGTGGGCTTTGCGGGGCTTCGGTTCCGGGCCTTGGGGTTTTACGCTTTCTTGAGGTTGGGGTCTTAGTACCGCGAGAACCCTGCTGCTCCCGGCACAACAATTTCCAGGGTTTTATTCTTTGATACTGCTGTGTAGCAAACCGATGGTGCCTCTGCCGGAACCTCCGCAGAAGCTGGGTCCTGCCACGAGATTTCGAACAATAAAGGCTGTTTTTCAGGGATTCCAACCCCCCATTTGGGGGCCTCCGAGGGGGGGGTTGGGCGAGGGTTTTTTTCAATTATTCCAGCTTTCGGGTTGGGGGGCTTTGGGCTTGGGCTTGAGAGGGCTTGGGCTTTTTCTTGAGCTTGGTCGTGAGCCAGTCAAATTGCGGGGTCCCAAATCAGAATCATGGTGCGCCCAGGTTGAAAGCCGTCGTTACCGGAGCTGGGTGGCCGGCCCAGGGAGTTTTTGGTGTCCGATTCGGGAATCTGTGGCAGATGCTTGCAATTCCGCCATAGGGTGAGGAAATTGATGGACTTCGGTGGTTTAGGACGCTAAAGCCTGCATGTGTCTTGGTTTTGGGCAATCTCTGCAGCCAGTGCCTATAAGGCATTCCCCGCGATTCTGCGCGATGCCTGCGCGATACTTGCGCGATACTCCCTGACCCTCCGCGATAGTGCGCGATGCCTGCGCGATACTTGCGCGATACTCCCTGACCCTCCGCGATAGTGCGCGATGCCTGCGCGATACTTGCGCGATACTCCCTGACCCTCCGCGATACTGCGCGATGCCTGCGCGATTCTGCGCGATTCACTCTTGGCTTTGTTCTGCTCCCGGGAGCACAATAACATGCAGAATTTGCACAGGGCTGGTTTTGGTCAAGGATTGTGTGCAGTTTCGGGCATTTCGAGAGCTTTTTGCAGAATTCCCGTGACACTTCGTTCCGGTGCTGTGTTTCTGGTTTCCATTTCAGGATTTCTTCCAATCTGCTGAAAATACTTGGAAATCGCCTTCCTAGTGCTAGGTGCGAGCCTGCAGGCCACAAAAGCCGTTCTCAGCCATCGAAGCACCTCCCACTCGACCTTTCTGGGGCCCCACAGATTCCACACATGTCCGAAGTCCCCTCCCTATACCCTTTATTTCCCTAAGACTAATACGAAGCTACTTCGAGGTCTGGGCTTGGGCTCTTGCAGCCCTGTGAACTTCTACTGCTGGTGGGCAACGGCTCGCTTCATGAAGGCTGGCCACGTGGAGCTTTAGGGTTTCGGCGCTCACAGTCGGACAGATTTAGGGTTTAGGGTTTGGGCCAAATTTGCTCGTGTCTGCAGCGTAGCATCAACAAGCGAGAGCTGGGTCAGGGCTTGATTTCCAAGCCAGGCCGAACAAATCCTGGGATTGCTGCTTTAAACATACCGTAACATACCCAACACCACAAAATCCTGGGAATGCTTTAAACAGGCCCTACAACAAGCGTGCTCTGGGCTCGCATGGCTCGCATCCACCTAGTTTGTGCAGTGTGTTTAAAGGAGGACCTGCCCAACTGTGGGCACTTTTGCAATGGCCGAGGAACCGTTTCCAAAGCGATTCCGCCGTGCCGGGACGGACGTGTTCGATCACAACTCTGTGGAAGGTGGTGGCTTGGGCAGTGAGGGCTGCTCTGTTGTCAACAAAGCTCAGGTGGCCAAGCTTCTCGAATGGCCAGACTTAGTGCGTCAGCATGCCGTACTCCAAAGCACACAAGAAGATCAAGATCCGAGTTCGAGTCCGAAGTCCGCCCTCTCGCTTTTCCTTCCAAGCCGAGACAAGCAGTCTCCCATCAAGCGCTTGTATGTAACGACAAGCTACATGGGGCTGGGCACAGTGGAACACGTGATTCAGCGTCTCGCATCTGCCACTGGGTCCGTGCAAGATGTGGTGTTCTGGTCTGGTGTTGAGTGCGACGAAGCTTGCAGGAATTTTGTACTGCAGTCGGCCCACTGTCCTTTGCACCTCTTTGGCGACTTGGAAGAACAAGTGGACGGTGAAGTCTTGAAGCACATGCATGCGGCTGTGGAAGTTTTGAGCAACCGCGTGGCCAGAGGCACCAGGGGCGATGTGTCATGTGCTAGTGAAAGAAGCATGCGGAAGCTGATCAACATAGGCACGAAGGCTGCTGCTCACGGCTTGTTCCTGGAGGAGGCTTACTGTTATCGGCACAAGAAGTACTGCAAGCTTTTCCCGAATCCAGAGGCCGGAGAAGTGGTTTTGGAAGCAGGCGGCAATTCCTGCGTCGGCTTCTCGCTTCAAGGAAGCCGGCAGCAGTGGCTGCATCCGAGTTCTGTCGCGACTGCCCTTTGGCTCTGCCGGTCGGCTGACAGAGGCAGGAAGGGTCTTCTTCACATGTTGTTGCAGGAGTGCTCCTCTATGTTCCCGACAGAAAGCTGTTTTGAAGCTGCCTTTGGTGATGGCTTCAAAACGAACGTCTTCAAAGTCAGCTGCTGTGATGTCGGTGTCCCGATGCAGCGACTGAGAAAGTTTTCGTGGACAGTCAATACAAATTTCTTCGACATCGGACAGTGCGACGAAGAGGATTTCAAAGCCGTGTTTTCGTCGCCAGTGCTATGCGAGGGCCATGACTTCTTCTGTGCGTCTGAGGAGCTCATTCAGCAGTATCTGCGCGAGGCTGCCAAGTTGGACTTGTCCCAGACCGCGGGCAAGCTTCCGCCCGATGTGGTTCTTACTGCTGCTGGCAAGGTTCGCTTGATGGAGTACAGCAGCCGTTCAGGGAGTGGTAATCCATGCGTCGTCGATGTGAGCCAGTCCGTGCAGGCAAGGCCGATGAGGCCTGGTGGCGACTTGGCCCACATGTCGATGCTCCCGTCCTTGCTGTGCCACAGTATCATATGGAGCCTCAAGCACGGTCGTGCAATGATCCCTACGGAGACTTTGTTAGCGATGGGGTGGCCGATGATGGCGGCCCTCGACAACAAAGAGGCTTCCGAGTGCCCTTGGCCTTTGGAGGCCTTGCAGACAACCAAGCACAGTCAAATCGTCAGGATGTCGGGCAATGCCATGCATGTCCGACTGACGGGATTGCTGTTGGCCTTCTGCTTGAGCAGGACTGAGCTGCATGAGTGAGTGTAGTGCGTGAACACTGTAAGCCGAAGCATGCCACCGAAGGTGCCCTGCGTCGGGTGAGAAGCGTTACTTCAGGTCTTTGGTAGAGCTCAGAAGAGTAGACGTGTGTGAATCAAGCTGCCTTTTTGATGAACTTCTTTGCACCGAGACTTGTGTAGATTGTGCAGTAGACGTACTCTAGATGAACACCTGTAGGCTGTAGTAAGACTGGCAGCCGAGACTCGCCAAGACTTGTTGGAGTGCGGCTTGTTTTGTCTTGCGCACTCAGATGTCACAACTGGTTGAGCTCCAGGCTTGCTGCGTCACACTCGTAACATGTACTCATGTGGACTTGTTCATGTAATCAGTTTGGATCTGGAAGTGCTGCAGAATCGCATTTTGTGTGTGTGTGTGCACATGAAGCTGGTCGAGGGGAGGGAAGTGATCGCTCGTCGCACGATCGGCTGCCCAACGAAAACGATCGAAGGGGCCTGAAGCTTCAGACTGTAGCGAGCAGTGGCAGGAGTTTTGCGGCAGTGAACTGAGGAGCAGGAGTAGTCCATTTTGTCTTAGTCGTAGTCCACGACAGACAGAGCAGGGCCGGCTGTCGAGCTGTTGATCTAGTCTGAGAATTTGGCAGGTCAGCTGCTTTGCTATCTCAGCGACGACTGAACGGACAGCTCGGGGAGCCTGGGGCCCGGAGTGTGACTGGAGGTGCTGCTGGTCGCCGTGCAACCCTGTCCTCATGTGTGTCGTGTTGCTTGTTCAGTTAACTTCGAGAGTTGTTGCTCATGCATAGGACATGTGAGCAGGTGCACAGCTGACATGTCAGTGCCTTGCCGTCCGATGTTGCACGCTTGAACTCGCAGCGTCTGTGCAAAGGACGCACTGGGACTGTGCGGTTGTCTGCCGTGCCTGCCTGTAGCTGTGTGCGCTAGAGCTTCTGCTTCCGCTGCAGAAATGTTCGACATGGAATCCTTGCATGATTCGGTAGATGTCGATATCGGTTTGATGCTCGGGGCGGAAGATCCGGATCCACCCAGAGCTTCTGCGAAGAACAAAGCGAAGGCCAAAGCCAAGGGCAGGGCCAGACCTGCCGGGAATGAGAGTGGGGATGATGATGTGCCACCACCGCCAGCCCCACCATCCCTCTCTGGCTCGTCAGAGCAACTTCGCAGGGGCACGAAGCGCAAAGTGCCAGGAGGGGACAGGGGATTCCGTATCTGCAAGGGGTGCGGGGAGAAGATCAAATGTGAGGATTGTGCCCTCAACTTCCCAGGCTGCAGACCGTGTAAGCGGGCGCTCGACAATATAGCCCGCTTGGCGTCCAAGCAGGGAGCCAAAGCAGTCGCCTTCGTCAAGGAGCAGCGCGACGACCCCGAGAAGTGCAAGGATATGGTTGCGAACTACAAGGAAAGCTGCCCAGAGTGCATGAATGAGTTAGGCAGCAACACCAGAGGCAAGAAGAGAGGACAGTGGAACCTCACAAAGTATCAGGAGAAGATTGTCTCCTCCTCGGGAATTCTCCGTGACAAGGTCGGCGAGCTCATG